GGAAGATCGTGGCCGTTAGGGTTAAAACTTCTTAGCCTTAAACACCCACTCGATAGGCCTCTCAAAGTTTCATTATCTACGTAACTGTGCAGGCCTGCTGATGAGTTAACATGGGCGTGTTCGCATAAATTAAGCGTGGGTTTCAGCAGCCATAGAACATTATTTTCTAGCAGGGTATTTAATTAATGCAGTCAACGATGTTTTCCGGCCAGGAATTTCTCTTGACCAATGTTGTTTCTTTTCCTTCAATTTTCACCATTTCTCTCACGTTTCTGGTCAATTTTTTTCCCATTGGCGACTGGTCAATGAAAAATAAACGCATCTTTGGCACTGGTTTTAGGAAGCCCGTGTGGGGATCAATTCCCAGAGATCAGTATCACAAACCACGAAGCATGTTGATTTATCGACGATTAGCTGCCCCGTAGAAGTTTTAGCATGCATGTCCAATGATTTCTTATCTTTGCTTGTGTTTGGTCGCTGTAGGGCCTCCTAGGAACTCTAATGCCTGATTCGCTTCTCAAAAAGCAATAATTTCTTTGGGTTTCCACAAACACACTAGGCAAGCACACACCGGCAAAGACGTCGACCCGTTGGCTCAATGGATAGGACGTTCGTCTCTAGCTCACTGGTCGCGGGTTCGAAACTCGAGTGTAGCGGCAGTTTCTGTGGCTATACTGGAGTTGGGTCTCTGCAGCCGACGAAGGCCAATAAGCCAGAAATTCGCGTATCCTGCAGTTCTAACGTTTGCCGGTAATACATTGGTTAAATTAGGCAAGCGTTTCGAGCCAAGCCGTTCTCTGTTAGAGAAAGTTAGAGAAAGTAGTTTTCCGGGGTGGCTTCTGAATAAAGCAACGTATTAACGCAAAATCGACTGAAAATATATAATTTACCTAGCAAACAGCCTAAGGGAAATACTGTGGCGCGGGTGGGGAAGGCACTGGAGCGCGCCTTTTATTCAATAACATTTTGCTCATCGGAGGAATCACCGAAACGTGCTCTTGTTTAATCAAAGCATACCTGTCAAAACTCAACGTGCCCCGCCTGCATATAGGCTTTCCGTAATGTCAACCACTAAGTAGGTCTGATATTAAAAGATATAATCCAATTCCTTAGGGAGATTTAAAAGGTAAGGACAAATAAATGCATGCCGGTAAGTTCAGCTGCCAAATGTTTTTTTGATTTCACGCGC